TCATGATGACATGTGGCTACCAAAACATGTTATAATTCTTCTCAATTAATATATAGGGGACCGGATTTTATTACTCGCAAGTACAAGTCAAATATCAAGTTCATTTTTATTTTTAACTACTTAGCTCGTTACTTAACTTGTTACTTGTTATCCTTTACTTGTTCGGTAACTTGTTATATATTACTTGGTATCTATTTCATTACCTAAATAAAATTTATGTATTACATATGAGTGACTACAATTACTTGTTACTTGTCTCCTATTCGCTCCTTGATCGGTACATCTATATTATTAAAACTGAATTACCATTTGATACTGTTTGGCAACAAGGATAATAGTATTAAAAAGAAGTATGTTTGGAAACATGAATATAAGTGTCCTTTCAATACTTTCTTTTATTTACATATTTAGTCATTACATTTATAATAAATTAAGTATTTCCTTTTTATATTTTTTTATTTGCAACATATGCCACTGCATTTAAAATAATTTAAATTAATTAATTACAATTCAAAAGCTAATGGTGTTATTGATAATAGAGGAATATCAATAAATAGTATATATTATATGAAACAATTTTAAAATATAGTATTAACTTATTTAATTTAGCAAATATTTTTTTTTTGAGAATTCAATTTTCAAAAAAAAAAACAAAATATCATAAAGCTAATAATAATTCCTAGAAAACTAATGAAAAAAATAAAAATTTTAGTATGTTTTTTATTTTAAAATAAATTAACAAAAATTGACAGGTTAATCTATGAATAGTACAATCAATTTATAAAATTCTTAATATAATATTATGTATAAATAAAAAAATATAATCAAACATCTATATTATAAAATAATATATTTTACTCTATATGTAAATTCCAAAATATAAAAATATATCTGTATTTTTTTTTGTATAAAACCAGCGGTTTATGAATTTACGTTGAGTGCAAGTTAAGTCAAACATCCGCGCCAGGCGCGGATCAACATCTAGTAAACCTTAAAGTCAAATACTCGTTCTTACCAAATTGTGTATCAAATAGTCTATTTAAACTACTTGCAAGTACAAGATCAATATAAAATTTGAAATAAAATTAATTAGTTGGCGTTGTTTGGTTTATTACTCATTTTTGTTAATGAACAAAGATACATTTTCCTAAATTATACTAAAATAATTCGTTTATACTTTTATAAGTAAATCAAACATAAATGATATATTTATATAGGTATCTTGAAATCTCTTCGGAACGTCTCAGACTCGCTTACCACTTGATCTTCGAAGATGGGAGTCGACAAAAAAAAGTATCTTGAAATTTTTATTTCTTATATAATCTATTTCACGAATTGACTAAAATGCAGGAAAAATAACGACACAAAAACAAGGATATATTATCTACATATAATAAAGTTATTTTCATTTAAATTCCAACTAATTATCAAATAATTTATAAGTAACAAGTAATAAAACAAGGTAAGTAATTTGCAAGTACTTGAAAATGAAAGTACTCATTTTTAGTAAATTAAGTACAAGTTCAAAATTTTAATACTCGTACAAAGCAAGTCGAGTACTAAATATACCAAAAATACCAAGTATTCGGCTTGTGTCCATCTCTAATTTATAGGCATAATATTTCATTTGGGTTTGGTATTGTTCTTGGGAGATTGAGTTTAAAAACTAATTATAATAACTTCTTTTTTAAAAAAAATAAAAAAATATATATAGTATACAATATGCATATTTGAAAAAACAAAATATACCTTGAACTTATTATTTGAGTTAATCATCCATGTTTTAAATACTTATTTTAGGTATTTATTAAGATTTCTGAATATTTTGGATATTTATTCGGAATTGAATTTGGTTCGATTCAAAAATTATTTTTTATAGGTCATCCAGTTCAAGTTCTTGAGTTCGATTTTTTTTTTTTTTTTCTATTGGGATCAATTATATGTCAATACCATTTTCGGCTATTGCCGTCTACGACATGTTGCTTCTCAGCAATTTCACATTCCGACTGAAATGAGCATCAGAGAAGATCATCACCACATTACCATAAAGTTCCTTAACTTGCCTACAAGACGAGAAAGTGATCACCATTAAAAACACATGTCAGAAAGTATCTGATCATTTCATTGACAAAATTTTACTTCTTGAAGAGAAGGCGATGATATACTTCTCCGTTCTGCTGATTTTACAATGGTACTAGATATACATTCAAAAAATGCGGCCAAAAACTATACAAGACAAATGATAAGCGGCAACTGAATAGGCCCAATTGTAACATTTCTATAATATTATTTGAGAAGTCACTTTCTTAGGTCGCGCTCACGTTAACTCTCACGCTGATTGATTATTATGATACCCCTACTGAATTAAAAATACATTTAATTATTATTATTTCCTTTTTAAAATCTTCCAAATAACAATATAAAATAAAAAGAAAATATTTATAAAATTTACAAAACTATATTTAAAACGAAAAATAAGTATATATATAATATGGTTTCATAAAAAAGGAAAGTTTACAAAATAGTAATATTTAACTTAAATATATTTTTAAATAACATAAATTATACTTTTAAGTAATAAAATACTTTATATCTATATCTTCTTAGATGAAAAAAATATTTGTATATAATGTGTTTTCATTAAAAAAGTTCATACAAATAATCTTGATATTAGAAAAGAAATATTTTTCTTTAAAAATAATTTAAA